GTTTTAAAATTTTCTACTAAGGCTTAGGCTCTACTTATAGTAGTAATCTAATATAATATATTATATTAATCTAATATTATAGCCTATTTAACGCTAATCTTTATAATTATAACTCTATTATTTTAAATAGCTAATTAGATCTTATAGACTTAAGTAATTAGCTCTTATACTTTTATTCTAAGTTATTTAGATATAAGACTTTACTTTATAGAGAATTATATATTATATTAATTTATTATAGCTTTAAGACGCTTACGTTTATAGTTACTATAATACTTATAGTAAATTTATCTTATATCTAAATAAATAACTACTTTTAGTCTAGTATTTTTTATCTTTACTTTTCTTTAGTTTAAGTTAATTATATATAGCTCTTTAAGTATAGTAATAAATTCTAGCTAGAAAAACTTTAAAATAATAGTACTTTCTATAAGTTAAAGAAGAAATAGCTAAAGAGTATTTAATAGTATATCTATATTAGTTATATAAGTATAGACTTTAGATAGTAAAATCTATCTCTATAACTCTATTATATAAGTTTATTAAACTTTAAACTATAGATAAATCTAGTAATCTAAGTTTCTTTTATTTATAAGTAAATTAATAATTATATAGCTTATAGATTAGCTTTAAGAAACTAAAGTTTATTACTTAAATACTTAAGAATATATAATAAAAGATTTTAGTACTTTAAGAATAAGAAGATTAAAACTTAAATTTCTAGTACTAGTACTTATAAAATAGTTAAAGCTTTTAAATTTAAGCTAGCTATAATACTATTTTAATACTAGAGTACTTTATAAAGATGTATTAACTTTTTATACTAATAGAAAACTATAAGATAAGTATATATACTTATTTACTTAGAAATAAGAAAATTATATATAATAAACTTTAAGTTAAAGTATTTATACTAAGATCTTAGTAAAAGCGCGCTTTTTGAATTTTATAAGTTACTTTTAGATATTAAGATATATATTAAAGTAGCTTAAGTCTTATACTAAATACTATACTAGTACTATAAGATTTTTATAAATTTTCTAAATAATAATAAGTATAAAACTAATCTTTTACTAGTTATATTACTATATTACTTTACTTACTAAAACTTTACTAAGTCTTTTTATAAAATTACTTTTTTTTAAACTATATTACTATTACTTTATAAGTTTTCTAATTAAGTATTATAATTCTTTTATAAGGTATTAAGTATTTAAATAGCTACTTTATAAGTTTAAAAGATTTAGAAGCTTTAATTACTTTAAGAGTAGTAGTACTAAAACTTAAAGCTTTAGCTTACTTAATACTATACTTTTAAGAGTAAGTAAAAGATTTAGCTATATATTTTTTAGAGTACTAGTAATTATTTTTACTTCTTTAAAATTAGTAGCTTCTTAAGCTATAAGTATTACTAATTAAAATTTAGATTTCTACTTAATAATAAGTTTTCTAAAGATTATTTTAAAAGATAGTATTATAGTAAATCTTATAACCTTCTTTACTATTCTTATAATAAGTTTCTTTTACTATATAATATAAACAAGGTAAAGTATATATCTATAGTAAATACTTATTAGAGTTGATAAGAATGTTCTCTAGAAACACCTATTATAAGTTTAATTTACGGGACTCCGCGCGCGCTGCCTAGGTGCTATTTCTTACTTTAACATCGAACATCTACACTAACCCAATTGCTCTCCCAGAGGACATGCATTACCTATGCCGACATCATGTGTTGAGACCGCTCATCATAGCGTTGAAGGCGCTGTCGTCAATAGGCCCCACGCTGCGCTTCCAGGCCTTAATTTTGCGCTGCTCCTCCAGAATCGCGGCATCATCAGGATTACGTTGAGCCAGCATATTGATGGTCACGAGCGCGAACGGAACCAAGCTGGACTCTCCCCAGAGCCTCAGAAATTTGGCGTATCGGAACGTGCTCCTCATCTCTTGCGCCGGCGAGGGTTTCCATGAGTGCTCGACGCCCCAGTATCCTTTCTCGGTGCTACTTTTGACGTCTCCGTAGGACTTTTGGATGCCAGGCAGGACCTCGCGATCTCCTTCTTCTAGCCATTTGAGTCCGATGGCTACGATGTTGAGATTCGTGGTGTAGTAGAGCTCGGCAACCTTTGCTACAAATGAAGGGCCGCCTTCCTCGACTAGACGCTTCCATGTGTCTGACTTGTGGGCTTCATCGATCTCGTCTCTGACTCCAGCCCAAAGTTTGAGGCAGCCACCGTCGCCATGTTTGAACAGCTGTGTTCCCTCGGCTTTTCTCTCGGTCCATGATGAGATGACAGCGTCCAGGTCATGGAACTTGCTGCGTGCGAAGTCTTCTTTCGCTGACTTAGCAAGTGATTCTTCGACAGTACCACTGATGGTGACCCGTGGCATGTCGCGGAAGCTCTTGCGGAAAGTCTCCAATAGCTCTTCCTGGATTTTGGTAGTAGAGAAGTAAGCCGTTGGGCCTTCGAGCTGGTACGGTGGGCGCTTGAGCACCGGTGCAAGTTCGAAATCCAGAGTTACGAGACGCTTGTAGTCTTCCAGGCGATCATCACCTTCTTTGATAGCCTCGCAGAGGAGCTTGACGTCTCGAAACAGCATGATCACATTGCAAGGCTCCAACAGCTCTGAAGGTGGTAACTCCTTCCTCCATCGAGGGTTGCTGTTCCCTATTGTGATATGCATGGCGTAGCCTCGAAAACGTTGGGTGATGGGCTTGATGACCTTGTTCCCACTCTTCTTCTTCGTCTTGGTGCCATTGTCCAAATCGAAAGCTAACGTTGGTACGGAATTGGCCTTGAGCATGTAGGCGAAATGGAGACCGCCAGTCGAAGACACGAGCAGGAACCGGTTGCCCTTGATCATAGCGTCGTAGCTCTCGGCGTAGATTTGCTTGTTAGCGCGTAGGATGCTTGGACTGAAGTCTTTCTTGGACAGCATTGTGCCGTGCGTAACGGACTCGGGACGCGGGAATGTGCATAGCAGGATGCCATATATCTTGTCGCGAATCTCGCGGGGAAGATCGAGGAAGCGGAAAGAAGTCATGTCTGGTGATTCTGACGAACTGTTCGGGACGATGTGTAGAGGTAGTGTTCGGGCATGAGAACGGGATCGTGCGGGGCTTAAATTCAACGGCGGTGAGTGGATACCCTTCGGTCTAGTACGTTATGGGTTAGGCTGAAACCGCATGTCGATGAGTACTTGCGCGGCCTCTTTGCGCAATTCTAGTAATCATTCGACAGCAGTCAGGTCCTGCCTCTGCGCATTAGGGGTATTAAGACCGATCTGTCACAACATTTGCAGGAGGCACATGTTCAAAACCACCCATAGCAAGGGTATCTTTGGCAGCAGGACTGATGAGGAACTTTGCTTGCTGTTAAGCCGCGTCTACAAGCTTCCTTCCGGCTTTTGATACACTGGCATCGCTACATCGGGATCGTATGTGGACTGCACGACCTTGCTTCCTGGGGGCAATGTTATTTTGGTGCCATCAGGTAATTTCACTTCCCCGGATCTATCGCTCGCGATCATCCATGCACTTTTCAAGCCCGCCTCTCTCGCGATATCTTCTTTGATTCGATAGACAATTTCCGGCCGTGGGATGAAGTTGTCCAAGTCTTTGCCATTTGTACTCTCTTCTAGCTCGTCCGGTATAGCTATGACCCAAGTCGGGTTTACGTAGCGATACTTGATATGATCGAAACCCATGCAGAACATTTTGTCCTGAACAAAATCCTCCGGTATGGGATAAGGTACACCCACCATTTCTAGATCATTTCGGATATCGGTATTGGCGATATTGTAGTTCACATGCGTGATGACAACGTCGCGGATATCGATGCGAATCTTGTAAAGAGTGTTGAGGTTCTCGGCTAACCGCTCATCGACGTCGAATTGCTCAGCAAAACTGTCAAGATACCAGACACCGCCGTCGATTGGCGTTTGAGCGTCGATAACAAGTAAGGGCTCCGCTTCGGGGAAGAGTCTCCTCAGTTCTGCATGGGACAGGTGTGACAAGTCACGTTTGTCTTCGATGAACAGCTGCTCTGCAGGATATGGAGAGCAGAAGTTGGCGCCAATGCCGAAGAGTTCCTGGACTGTATCGAGTTGGGTAGGTGTAAGATCGGCGACGAGAATGCCAAGAAAGCGCTCTTTGTCGCGGTACAAGTTTGGGTCGTAGACCATGATGGAGAAGCTGTGTCAAGGACGAACAGCACAATGTAGAGTAACAAGAGACCCTTATATGTCCGAACATCAAAATGGCCTGGTATCTAACGTGTCATCGTAAACCTTAGTCGCACGCCTAAGTCTCCTTTACAGCTACGCAGAATCAGTCCCTAGCTCAGTCGTAGTCTTGATTGGACAAAGCACTGGACTATGCGAGGTAGAAGAGGAAACAGATGAGGCTGATGCCTAGACTATCATAGATCTGGAATACGGCACTGTGTACTGGTGTAGAGTCGATCGCACTTTCTGTCAAACGCACAGCGAGCCAATGACGTAGGAGAGAGTCTAGAGCATGGGTGTCTTGTGTCGCGCGTTGATGCCTTAAGTTGTTCCTGGCTATAGCATGCGAAGTGGGGGAGCTGCAAGCCACTACGATGGGAGCCTGGAGATGGGGTGCATTGGTGCCACAGGTTCGGCCCACGTTGACGCCGAAAGTCGATACAGTCAATGCAAGGTGACAGATTTGACGTGTGCTCTCTTCAGTGGCCAGGAGTGTGATGATGGGCGGCGAGAGTGAAACTAGGTGGTGATGTTCGGTGTGTTGTGCTGGCCGTCTGGGCGTGGATTGGAGCGCTATGAGACCCTGCTTTTGCAATCCCCACATACGTGTGCTAGCCCAGCGCGTGAGGAAGTCGCGACTGAGAAGCAACAGCCGCGCCATAGCATCCTCTGCTGCTCAGATCCATTCCATCAGGCCGGCACTTGCTAGATCCCCCACCGAGAGCGCGATTGGGAGTGCATTGATCAGCATAGGCCCCTGAATCCGGCACCGAATGGCGACACCACCCCCGGCTCGCGACAGAGCTCCCTCGGAAAGCGTGCCAGTCGGGAGTCCGCAGCCCAAAAAACTGCCCGCCCCCTCAACGCCCACATCCTCAGTCCGCCGCAAGATGGCTGCCAATGCGCCTTCCCCAGCCTCGAAAGATGGCGTCCCTCCTCGTCGCCCGACTGCAGCCAGCGGCACAGCTGCGAGCGCCCGTCGTCCTGCAGCGGCATCAACAAGCACGGCGCGAACCACTGCGAGCGCGTCCAAAGCCCCCACCACGGCGACATCGCGCACCAGCACAGTCGGATCCAGCCTGAACAAGCCGCCTACGCGTCCGGCAGCAGGGACGACGGCGCGCAGGACCATCTCATCGTCGAGAACCGCCTCCGATGCCGAGCCAGACCTGTCGTCCGTCACATCAGGCGACGAGAAGAAGAGGACAGCAGTGCGCAGGACGCCCGTCACGTCGTCAGCTACTTCGAGGCCATCTCCTGCCAAACCGACTTCGAGGCAATCCATTGCGCCTTCCACGACCACGACTGCCGCCAAGCGTCCTGTAACCACACGCCCAACTGCAGAGGCAGCGACGACCCGCACTGCCCCACGCGCTTCTCTTGCTGCGTCGACACGGCCGACTGCTACTCGACCCGCGGCAGGAACACGGACGGCAGGCGCAACAGCGAAGGCGCCGGCTGGGCCTGCGAAGAAGCTGTCCGTCTCTGCCCCTCCACCACCAGCGCCGGAAACGGAGGATACAGCCGAAGAAGCGTGAGTCAGCATGAGCCGCCAGGATGATACATTGCTAACTCAATCACAGAGAGAGCCCCGTCGTCGTCACCCCTCGCCGTGCGCCCCTCAAGGACAAAGCTGCGTCCGATGCCGAAACCGAAAAACGCAAGAGCGCTCTCGAGCCCATCAGGGCTTCCATGGCGAAACTCGGCGAGGGGCCGCCGCGTCCGGATACTGCGCCGACGGGACGTGCCGAGATGGATGTGGAGATGAAAAGGCGGAGCGCTCAGATCATGCAAGACTTCTTCAAGGAGACCAACCTACGCGACAAGCTTCAAGAGCAATGCGACGACCTCACCCGCGAAGTCGATAACCTGCATTCCGAGAAGGACAAGCTGCGCAAACAGCTGGCGGATGCTCAGGCCGCCATTGTTGAGAAGGACAAGGCCATCTCCGGCGGCTCAGATGCCTCGCCCTCGCAGCACCGCGCCCACACGATCCTCGTCGAGGACATGGAAAAGAAGTTTGCGAGAGAAACCAAGCAGCTGGAAGAGCAGAGCCAACAGCTGGAGGAGGAGAAGAAGGCTGCGCAGGAGAGAGAGGCAACCGAGGCAGCCAAGGCTAGCGAGCTGCAGCAGGTCTTGGACGATCTGAACGCCGAACTGGAACAACAGGGCCAGCAATGGGACGAAGAGAAGAAGAAGCTCGTCGAGCAAGCCGCGCAGATCGAGGGGCTCAACAAGGAGATTTCTACGCTTCGGGAGGAGCGTGACAGCTTGTCGCAAGAGCTGGACATCGCCAAGAAGACGCTGGAAAACCTCGAAACGAAATTCGCGGAGCTCGAGCAGACCCAATCCGACAATCTCCGTTCGCGCGATGCTAAGATCACCGAGCTGACCAAGACTGTCGATGAGTACGTGACAGAGGTCGCCTCTCGGGAGGAGAGGCATACCAATGCCCTTCAAGAAGCACAACGGTCTCTCGAGTCAAAGTCCTCCGAGTCTTCAGCTGCCGTGGAGCAACTTCAGTTCGAGATCCAGACCCTACATCAGAAACACACTGACGAACTGCGCCTCAAGGAAGAGACTATCGCAAGTCACATTCAGGCGCAAAAGGAGCTTCAAGACGATATTACCAAGCTGCAAGAACGGGCTGATCAGGTCTCTGCTGACCTGGACACCGAACGCAGCGCCCATGCAGAACAAATGCAGGCCAAGATCGAGGAGCTACAGAAGAGTTCAGAAGCAGAGCTGCAAGCGAGAGAAGACGAGCTTTCTGGCCATCTCAAGTCTATCGATGGTCTCCAGGAACAGATCGTGGCCCTGCAGCAAGGTTCAACTGACGGTGCCAGAGTCGCCGAAGAGCTGCACAAGCAAATTCAAGAACTGAAGGAGGCTCATGAGGCAGCGATCAAAGTCAAGACCGATGAGAACGAGGAGCTTGTGCGACAACTGGATGCCATAAACGAGCAGCTCACCACTGACGCCGCCGAGCTTGAACAGCTCAGGGAAGAGGCAGCAAGTCTCCGCAGCACCATCGAGACACTCGAGAAGACCTCGCAACAGCAAGAGTCCCAGCACGCCTCCGACTTGGCGAAAGTCCAAGCTGAACTGAACGACGCGAACAAGAAGGTGGAAGCCCACAAGGCAGAGCTTGATACGCTGCACGATAGACACAAGCAAGACCTTCGGGTCATTGGCGAGGATTATGAACGCGAGATTGAGTCGCTGCGGGCGGATCTTGAAGGAGACGCAACCAAGCGACTCAACACCCTGCAGGCTGACTACGACTCCCTCGTGACCGAGAAGAGCAAAACACTGGAACAGCATGAGCAGATCCTTGCTGGGCGATCCAGTGAGCTTGAAGCTGCCAAGAAACAGGCTGAAGAAGCCCAGGAGAGTACCGCTCGCGCGACCGAAAATCGAGATGATGCGCTCATGAAGCTCAAGAAGTTCGAAGAAGAGAAGGCGGCTCTCACAGAGGCACACGGCATCTCGCAGTCTCTAGTCGCCGATCTTCAAGCACGCGTCGATGCCCTCACTCAGGAAGCTGCCACTGTCAAAGACGTCCAGTCTCAATTAGACCGTCTGAAGGAGGAGAAAGCCGCCATAGAGGAGGCGCATGGGATGACTCAGTCGATCATCGCCGATTTGCAAGCCCGTCATGACTCCCTTCTGGAAGACAAGACCTCTGCTGAAGACGCTCATAGCCGAGCGATTGAAGCGCTGAAGCAGGACTCTGAAAGCCAGTCCAAGCATCTGCTCGCTGAACTGCAAGCGAAGTATGATGCCTTGCTGGATGAGAAGAAGGCTGCAGAGCAGGAATACCATCGTGTGCTGGAGACTCAGAAGCAGAACGCCGATGCCTATGCTTCTTCGAAGGAACTAATCGAAGAAGTCCAATCCAAATACGACAGTCTGCTGCGCGAGAAGACTGCATCTGACGAGGAACACGAACGTGCGATCAAGGCACTAAAGCACGACTCCGAGAACACATCAAGGCAGCTCATGGACGAGCTTCAGGCCAAATACGACGCACTGCTCGAAGAAAAGAACGCAACCGAAGCAACCTATACTCAAACAATTGAGGCTTTGAAATCTGAGTCGGAAAGCACCACCAAGTCGATCCTAGGCGAGCTTCAATTCAAGTACGACGTACTGTTGGAAGACAAGTCTGCGGCTGATGATGAGCACAACCAAGCTATCATGCACCTAAAGGAACAGGTCGAGGGCGCGTCCAAAGAGCTTCTGAGCGAGCTCCAAGCCAAGTACGACCAAGCTCAGGACAACGTAAAGAGCATGTCCGAAGCTTTAAGCGCTTTGCAAATGAAGCACGATGCTGCCTTGGAAGAGATCAACAATATCGAGGCTAACCACAAGGCTGAGATCGATGCTCTCCAGAGCCAGCGTGACGACCTTTCCAAGCGACTTTCACAACTCGAAAAGAGCCACGCAGACGTGCTCACCGGGCAGCTGGTGACCGAGGAAGCACACGCAAAAGCACTCGAAACTCAACAGTCTGAGATTGAGCAAAGGTATGCCAGTCTACTTGAGATCATGCAAAGCGACGCCGATCGACTGGAACAGGAGAAGTCTACGGCGCTATCGGGCAAACAATCCGCCATCAACGAGCTCGCTGCTCTTAAGAAAGAGCTGAACGCTGAGATCGATGAGCTCAAGTCCGGACTCTCCACGAGGGACCAAGTGCAATCCACCGGAAACGACGAGATGACCCTGAAATACGAGAACCTTCTTGCCGAGAAGACCGCTGCGGAGAAGGAGCATCAGGATGCCATGACATTGCTCAGGGACTCTCTCACGCAGGACCATGAGCAGGCCCTATCGAAGTTGCAATCCGAGTACAACGCTTTGCAAGAAAAGATTGCCAAGACAGATCAAGAGCAGAGTGACGCAATTGAGCTACTGAAAGATGAGTTCCAAGCAGGTCATTCGAACGACATGCAGGCCTTGAAACAACAGCTTGAGGCTATGCAGAAACGGCACTCTGACCTTACCGAGCAGAAGGCGTCTATGGATCAGGCACATGAGGAAGCTATCAGCGAATTGATGGTTGGCATGGAAGCCAGCACCTCCGACGCTTTGCAGCAACTGCAGGAGAAGTACGCTGCTCTTGCCACTGAGCTGGAAGCCGAGCGTTCCCGGCATGCCAGCGAACTCGAAGCTGTAAGGCAAGAGACAGCCACACAGGCAACCTCAGGGAAGGACATGTCGCAGCAAGCCCCAATCACCGACATCTCGGAAGCCTCCACATCGAACGGAACTGATTACGAAGAAAAGCTTCGTGAGGTGGAGCGACAACGTGACGAAGCCATGAGAGCTGCCCAGGACGCCGAAGACCGCATCGAAACCATGAAAGGCGAAGTCGTTCGCAAGCATTTGGCACGAGTTGAGCCCTTGGAGAAGGAGAACGCCTTCCTCACCGACAAGATCGACCGCCTTGAAGCCATCATTGCCGCCGGTGATCGCATTGCTCGTGCGGCCGCTACCATAGGCGAGCAGCGTAAGATCAACACTCTCGCAGAAGAGGATGAGGAGGACGAGGAAGCCATGGCGCCGGGCATCCCGGCTCCCAAAACGAATGGCGCCAGTGACCACGAAGATGTGGTAGGAACTGTAAGTAACCCCTTGCCTGTGTGTGTTTTTTTCGTTTTGTTTGTCGCACATGAAGTACAGATCGCTAATCCGCCGCTAGCAGTTGGCAGCTATGCAAGAGACCCTAAACCAGCTCGCTGAGCTCAACAACGAGGCCATCTCTGAGAGCACGAAGACCGCCCACAAGCTCACCGTTGAGCAGGACTAGAGGTCTTTTCTTCTTGGGAGGATTGCATGTTGAACATGCTTGCCGTGACGTACGAGTGCGAATGATGCATGTGCTTCTATTTCTTCTTCTAACATACTGTTGTAATTCTTCCTCTCCCGCTCTTCACAGCATGAGTTTGCCTTTTAGATCATGGCACTATACCCACTCAATGTACTATTGTCAATCACGAAGCCTTTGTTTGCAAAATGCCCTGCGATGCGCACATGATGTCTCATATTCACCCAACGTTGCACATTCTGTCGCTACTCACTCATTTCAGGAAACCAGGGACTGGCGCGAGCATCTTCATGTATCTTGCACACAAATCAGGAAGATTAGCTTTCAATCACGAGGCATTTTGAGCTGGCTTTGCGATCAGACAATGAAAAACGCGTCACATATAGATCAAGCACAGAAATTTATCATGATCATTTGATTGAACTATACAAAAGGCGCAGCCAACAGAATGTAATATATATATACAAGAAAACTTTTCCTCCTCACTTCTCACTCAGAGCGTTTCATCTTCCCATCTCCTAAGACTGGTAGGAGTCGATGAAAGAAGCTCTTCCAAGCTTCTGAGCATGGACATGCTCCCTAACAACAACAGGGCTAACAGGCTTGTGGCCGTTCATCGCACGCCTGGTGGGGGCGTCGTGACGACGGGAAACAGGCTCGGAGCGGCCGCGCTTAGAGGCCGATCCCTGGAGGCACTGGGAGTAGTAGTCGTTCTGCTTTACGCACTTCCAGCCGGAGGCGCAAGTGGTAGGGCCGGTGAAACCGACCCCGCCGCAGCGCTCGTAGGCTCCGGCTGTGCTGGGCTGAGCGGGCTCAGCGGGCTCAGCGGGGGCGGGTGTGGTGGTGGGAGCAGACTCAGCAGGCGCGGAGGGAGTGGAAGACTCAGCGGGCGAAGATGGGCTGGGAGAGGCAGATGCAACGGGTGCCTCAGACTCGGCAGGTGGTGCTGACTCCTCGGGTGCGGCGGTAGGGGTAGCAGACGATGCCGCGCTGGTGGGCGCTGCAGATGAAGCAGCGGGGGCTGAGGCAGTAGCAACTGGTGCGCCAGAGCTGGCCTCTTCAGGGGTAGCAGGAGTGGTACCGCTGGCGGGGCTACCACCAAGGGCCAGGATGCGCTCGGCAGCGGCCTCGGCGGCAACCATGACGATAGCCTGGGTGTTACCAGTGGGAAGATCGGGGTGGATCGAGGCATCGACGACGAAAAGGTTGTCGGTACCGTAGACCTTGGTGTCAGTGTCAACAACAACACCAGCATCTCCCTTGGTTCCCATCTTGGCAGTGCCGACGTAGTGGCTACCAGTCTTGAAGGACTTGATGAGGTCTGCACCAGTGACGTTGGAGACACCGGCAGGTGCTTGCACAGTCAAAGTGGAGTTGCCACCCTTTGTCATGGCGATCAAGCGGTCCATCATCATGGTAATGGCCTCAGTGTCGACATCGGAAGTCATGTGGGGGTCGGTGATGAAGGAGGTGGCGCCATCAGCAGTGATACCGAGGCTACCAACAGACTGAAGACCGTGGGTGATGTAGACTTTCATCTGGATAGTGTTGTCGGAAGGCGAGTTGCAGGTACCCTGGAAGAAAATCTCGCTGCCATCGGTGGTGTTGACGGATGACCACCAGTTGAGACGCTGACCAGACTGAGCGAGCTCGCCGGAGCCCTTGGCAAACAGATCGATGGTGGTCTGGTTAGGGGTGATGAGCGCGTCCTTGTCAGTTGCAGCAAGCGGTGTGCTGGTGTTGAACTTGACAGTGAAGATGGGGTGGTCCTTGATCTCAGCACCAACCGGGAGGTCGATCCAGTCAGCCTCGTCAGGGAGAGTGACCTTACTGCTGCCACTGGCAACTGTCTTGAGCTGGTCGGCGGGACCGATTCCGGAGTTGAAGAGAATGCGGGGTGTAGACATGGATCCGGCTGCGAGGATAACGCTACCTCCCTTGTTGACGTTGTAGATGACGCGCTTGCCATCCGCCGTCTCAACTTCGATACCAGAGACCGCCGATCCCTCACGAACAGCGCGAACGACGTTGGTGTTCATCATCAGCTCAAAGTTGTCGAGCTTCTGGGCGAGGGGAAGGTAGGTCCTGACGACACCGGAACGGAGACCGTTGGCGATGTTCCATGTGGGGTGGCCGTAAACATCGACCTTTGCGTTGGGGTCCTTGACGAAGTCGGTCTCGGTCCAGCCCTGGCCCTCGAAGAACTTGGAGAGGACGTCGTAGGCGCCATCGTCGTAGCGAACACCATCTTCGGATCCGTAGGTTTGACCAGGGTTACGCTCGTACAGACGGTCAGCCGCCTTGGCGACATCGGTCCACTTCCAGCCAGCGGGCCACTTGTCGTCAAAGTCGCGCTCCTGGGGCTTGACGTACATCATGGCGTTGATGGCAGTGCTGCCGCCGAGCAGACAGCCAGCCATATCCGCAGTGTCGGCGCAGTAAGCAGGGCTACCGACATCGCTGAGGTAGTATCCGTATCCAGGGACATCGTACATGGAGACAGTGTCATTCCAAGGCATGACCTCAGTCTTGCCAGTGAACGCGTACGATGGGCCACCACGCTCGATCAAGAGGACAGACGCGCCGCTCTCGGCAAACCTCTCAGCTGCGATGATACCGGCGGCGCCACCTCCAGCAACGATGTAGTCGTAGGTAGAGTTTGCGATGGTGGCTGTGGTGTTTCCACCAGCTGGGGCAGTCGAGTTGCCACCAGCTCCTGGGGTAGTAGAGTTACCAGCGCCGGGGGTGCTAGGGGTGCTAGCTACCGCAAGGGCAGCCCACTTCTCGAAATCGGGGCTAGTAGCGTTGCTCATGGGTAGTCCGAAAGCTCCGAAACCAGCGTCGTGGTAGTTGAGAACCGCGCCAGCAGTCGAGGAGTCTGCGAGCGGCTTGTCAGAGTAAGCCCAACCCTGGACGTTGACGCTGGGGTCCTCGTAGATGACAAGGCCAGTCGATGGGTCGTCGCTTATGCAGTTGGAGCACAAGAATGTGTATGAGAAGGCGGTGTCGTTGACAAAAGTACCGTCCGGGATAGGAGACATGGTGAAGTCACCGGTCTTGACAGCTGGGTTGGTGTAGCCAGTTGCCTCCCGGAAGGATGCAAGGACCTTGTCCTCGTGAGGCCAGGCAACGACCAGCAGGTTACCGGTCATAGATTGTCCCAGACTGAAACCAGCCCAACCTCCATCGTTGGTGATGGGTGCTTGAAGCTGGATGATGACATCCGTAGTAGGCTTCTCAGGTAGGGCATAACCCAACGTGTAGCCGGAAGAGTGATGGTAACCCTGGAAGGTGATGCCCGTCTTTTCATCTGTGAACTTGCCAGATGTTTGCGCCGATGCGCCAAGAGCCAGAACGGCGGTGGAAAGAAGGAATGAGCGTGCCATTGTGACGCTGTGAGTGATGACTGAAGTGGAGGAAAGAATGGTGTGGCACTGCCGCAAAAAAAGAGTGTGAAGCCGTCAAGGCTGTAAAGAATGACTGAAAAGCAACGTTCGTAGAACGAGCAAGTAAAGCGAAAGAATGGACAAAAGCGAAAGAGCGTGTACCGAATAAGTCGCCGCAAGATGCATCCTTATATGAAGACAATACCCATTGTGGACCATGTTTCCCTCAATCTGCCACTTCCAAGGATGAAATCCTCCTCCGACCTAGCGCCCGTCAAACAAGCTCATGATGCAGCCTCACCACGTTGTCAACCTGGAATCTGGACCTCCGATGCCCAGGAACATGGTTCATAGGTGGCGCTACAGGTGTCAGAACGGTCAACTGGCGTTTGCACCACTGTACTAAGTAGATTGGGTGGAGCTTGGACGGAAATATGCCGACGCACTGTTCGGTAACACGGTTGCGTTCATTCGTCGACGACGATGTTTCATGTTTCCATGGCATGAACCTGACGTTGAGGTGGATGCTAGAGCCGTTTCGAAACGCCGCCAAGGCAGGAACCGCTATCCTTCGCAAATTGCGCGTGGGCCTCCAAGCAAAACACCATCTGCCATGGATCGCGCTCGCAGTTCGTGGGCTTGACTGTTGAGTCGGGTGTTCCTCATCGGCTGTTGCACCCGGTGGCTGCAGGAGTCAGGCTGCTTTGATCACTGTGTGACCCGAAGCCGAATGCGAAAAGCCATGGATCGTGTCAATTTTCGGCGTCGGTCGTTCTGCAACAATCAAAATCCGGCAGAACGGCATTTTCGAAGAATTGCATCGATGCAACATTGGGATTTTGAGAAGGTGACGCGCAAAGCCTACGGACTTTCGCGCGTGCATGCCTCGACATTGTTGCGGCGACGCGACCTGCGATCTTTCTGGGGATAAGTACGACGTTGTATCCGGATGGCGATAGTATGGTGACTACTCGATACTGAGCCGTGAGCGACGAGATGAAGTTGTGAGGTTGGATGCGCCCAAGTAGCTACCGTGCTAGCGGAATGCCGATTGCCGACCACAGAGGCACGGCGCAGCAGTTGAGGACGTGGACCTGTCAAGCATAGACTAGTGCATCGACAAGTTCGAGAGGTTGTTGAACTGTCTCCAAACTAGGTCGGTGGGTGTGTTCGCTGAGTAAGGAACGAGTCGAACGTGCTGATGCTGCGGAGGTGTACAGGTGGGGTAGTCGAACCTCGGCCCAGGGTGTCGCCTCCCGGTAGCTAACCACCATATACAACATCTAGACATGCCAACAGTCGGATCGATCTACCAGTACAACTTGATTACTTCTGCACGGATTCCATCGCTTTCATCACATCACAATGGCTAAAAATGAAGTTCCAGCATATGTCCTTGGTGTTGGGCTCACCAAGTTCATCAAGCCTCGACAAACCCGCGCATACCCGGAAATGGGCTACGAGGCGGGAGTGAAAGCAATGCTGGACGCACAAATCAACTACGATGAGGTTGAGACTGGTGTTGCGTGTTACTGTTACGGCGACACCACGAGTGGCCAAAGGATCTTCTACCAGTTTGGCATGACGGGGTATGGAAGTCGATAGCATTGTCCTGAAGTCCTAAGGCACTGACAGCCATTAGTATCCCTATCTACAACACAAACAATGCATGCGCCACCGGCTCAACTGGACTGCATCTGGCGAGAACACTCATCAAGAACGGAGCGGTTGACTGCGCGATGGTCATTGGATTTGAACAGATGCAACCAGGCTCCATCAAATCTGCATGGAGCGATCGACCCTCTCCCATGGGTAAGTACTAGCTGTACAAATTACATGTGAGACACATACTGACTTCGTACCCCTACCTCTGCAGGACTCTCAATGCGTATGATGGCCGATACGCGCGGCATAAGCAACTCTCCACCCAATGCTCAATACTTCGCCAATGCTGGTCTTGAGTACATGGAGAAGTATGGCGCCGAGGCGCGTGACTTCGCTGAGATTGCAAGAATCAGCCATGAACACAGCCAAAAGAATCCATACGCGCAGTTCAGGGATGTGTACACACTCGAACAGATTGAGAAGGCTCCTATGATTCACTTCCCGTTGACCAAGCTCCAATGCAGCCCGACGAGCGATGGCGCGGGCGCGGCGGTCATTGTGAGCCAGAAGTTCTTGGACGCGAGGCCACACCTGAAGAGTCAAGCTATCCTCATCGCAGGCCAGTCGTTGATGACAGATTCGCCGCAGCTCTACTCCAAGTCGTCGATGGATCTCGTTGGTTACGACATGACCAAGCGCGCGGCGCAAGCAGCTTTGAAGGAGGCTGGCGTCAACGCAAAAGATATCAAAGTCGCAGAGTTGCATGACTGCTTCTCAGCTAACGAACTCATTTTACTGGAAGGCTTGGGCTTCAGCGAGCCCGGAAAAGCACACATGATGGTGCGCAATGGCGACATCACATACGGCGGCAAGGGTCCGATCGTCAACCCGTCAGGCGGTCTCATCAGCAAAGGACATCCGCTCGGTGCAACAGGACTCGCACAATGTGCGGAATTGACATGGCAGCTTCGAGGCTGGGCTAACAACCGACTTGCTGAAGGGGCCGACGCTGCGTTGCAGCACAACCTCGGCTTGGGTGGAGCTGTTGTCATCAACGTCTACAAACGTGCCGATGGCAAGAAGAATGCGAAGATGAGTGATGAGGAAGTCAAGAATGCGAGTCAATTCTCCTACAACCCGGCTGTGGAGGCGCGCTACGTAACCAAGGAGGATGGAGAAAAGGTCAGGAGCAAGACTGTGGCGAGCGAGTACGCTTTGGGCGATACGCTGGAGAAAATCCAAAGTCGGTTGTAGACTTCATATAGTCGCAATCAGATAGTGTTATGCGAATTGAGCTTGCCAACTATTTCGTGTTGCTGCTAGAACTCTTTGAATTTTGTTCTCACTTTTTACTTACTCGAAGGCTTTAGCAATGTAACAATCCTTCTTTCTGAATCTTATGCAAAAGACATCACCTCTTCTTCTTAGCAATACTGCTTGATTACCTAGTTAACTGCGTTTCTTTGATTCTATATCTAGTCGTTTTAAGAAGAATTTTGTATGTATCGTGCTGCTGCTATGCTAAGCAAAAATACTGCTGCCCTAGAATTATCTTCAAGCGTGTTAACCATTAAGATATGTCGACTAAGGCGTTGCTAGACCAGAACTCTGTAGGTACTATCTGTCAACAGAGATATCATCATAGAATTCAGGAGAGAATAGCTATAGTCCAACTTTTCGCTATGACTCTAACATTAATGAATCTGTAGTACATCGTGATTGTCAAATAAGAGCTGCACTGGGGCCGCTTGTGCTTGCCTGTTTGTAGGACGGAGCCTTGCTGTCTATAAGACACCACCGCCTCGCAGAAACAACATCTACACTTGCTTGACCCAGTCCCGAGCGGTGGTCGGCCAGCGTGCGCCACCAGGCAGTCGCTGCGTCTCCTCTCTCACCGTCGGTCCTAAGCGACGCCTATCCCTCTATCACCACCGTCCAGCTTCAGAATAACCCCGCACAAATCAATGTCACATGGGCGCTAGTGGGTTTCGACCGACCGTGCGTCTTTGTTATCGAGTGAGTATATATATCCAAGCCTCTTCAGTGACAGGCCAACTATCCTCCGCAGCAACGGCCAGTCCGAGGCGATCACCTAGGCTTGCGTCTTATTACGTTTGCGGCTTATCATCGAAGGTTTCGAGTATATACCTCTTCCATCAACTCCTGATTCCTCCGATCCATGACTCGCCCGCGTGTCAATATGGATCACTCTTACTCTCCAGAATCGCTTGAGCGAATGTCGAGTCCGGAATGGGGCCTTGAAGATGACTCGCCACCACCCGCGCCCCGAGTCCTTGAGACGCGCGTGAAGTCAGAGTCTGCACCTCCCTTCCACCCGGTAAGTAACTCGTCACTGCGCCAGGGGTTACGACAAAACCATCGCGACGACCTCCAGGCTTCCATATTAGCAGCTTCTTTTTATGATAAGGTTGTCGCGAATGCTCCCGCGATAGCTGTTATGTTTACAGCGCTAATCAACCGAATAGACGAGCGTAGACGCTGAGAACGGCTCAACCGCCCAGGAGAGCATCTTCGTCTCAGACGACGACGTCAAAGAAGTGACGCCCGTGAAGCGCCAGCCCACCAAAGTCCAGACGATCCCCTCCTCATCAGAAGACGATGAACCCATCGCCTCCACACGTCAGCGCCACAACCTCCGCTCGTCAGCGCGCAAGCCCACCAAGCCGTCGCCAAAGAAGCCCGCCAAAGAGACTGTGGAGAAACCCAGTCCACTACCCACGAGACCACGACCCATCCTGAAAAACGACCTGGTCGCCAAAAAAGCCGTGATCAAAAGCATCGAAAGCTACTGGGGCAAGAACTGGGTCAAAACCCACATCCCCAAATGCCACCGTCCACTCGTAAGTACCCACACACCACCCTCCTCCTTCCCTTCCACCAACACCCCACAGTACAAAAACGGCACAAAACGAAACTACAACCGCGCCCACGAAAACGACCCCATGAAATGGCTTCCCTTGGTCCTCAAATCCATCCTCATGGTCGCCAAGCTCACCAAGAACCGAAAGTGGCTTGCGGCTACCATGAACGAAGTCGTCCGCTACCGTGTCAAGAATACCGGGAACCGGAAGCCGCAGCTCTGCAGCACGGACTTTGATGTCATGGAGGATATGTTGGTCAAAGACTGGGAGGTGGAGTATGCGTTTGGGGTTTGGTATAAGCATTTGCTTGTTAAGGCTAAGGAGATCCAGACTGAGGAGGATGTGGATAGGATTATGAAGGTTAGTGAGGAGGAGGATGATGGGGAGGAGGGGAGTGGTGGTGGTCAGGACAGTTCTGGGGGGTCTGATTCGGAGTCGGATGACGATGTGAAGCAGAAGTTTGGTGGGGGTGCTTCAGACGGTCACCGGGTTATGGGTGGGCACCACCAGTCCCCTTCATCGACTCCTCGCGGTAAGAAGCACAAGACACCCAAGAAAGAAGTCGTCAAGGAGGAGTCGCCGACGCTGCCTCATCCTCCGCCGCCCGGTATGTATGGTGGTCACTACGGCCAGCCGCTCATCGATCCATGGGGTCGTCCGATTATTCCTCCGCAGGGTGGTGGGTTCGGTGGTTATGGCGGTTACCCAGCCTTCAACGGCTATGGCTATCCACCGTACGGCCAGCCCCCGTTTCCCATCCAAGGCCGCCAATCATCTCATCCATCTCCCTTCCCGCCTTTCTCTCGCCAGCCACCACCCATCGCCCATCCGCCCGGTACCCCAAATCCTGCGCGCGCAGGTCGCGACACCCCCACGATCAAGCGAGAGTCATCCGGCCTTGACGGCGAGCAGGCTGAAAACTTCGGTGATCCAGGAGTCGTCGGTCACGAGGGAGCCATGGCCGATGACGTTGACATGGCCGAGAACGAGGAGACTATCAAGGCAGCGATGGCCGTCGTTCAGGCGGAGCTCAAACTTGCACGTCTTCATCACAAGCAAGTGAGCATGGCGAGTATGGCGAAGAAGTAGAGTTTGGCGGAGATACTTTTGGCACTAGCTTTGAATTCGCTTGGATGTAATGCACTGCGTTGGTCAGCAAACAACAGCTTCACTTCCTTCTAACATGACGGTGAGGCCGAAAGGCCCCCGAAGTATCACGAATCATGTTTGATGCATAGCGAGATAGTTTGCGGTAATAGGCAGCAAGCCTTAATAATAATCGAATATCATGAATCTACGTCACATCAATGGGTCTCCTAGTAGACCTCAAGTACGTAACGGCCATCATCCTTCAACTTGTCAATCTCCTTGCGTCCATCGATCTTCTTGGCGCCAACATTCTTGACCTTGTGCTCGACTTCGACAGCCTCCTGGAGCACCTCGGTTACATCAGGTACAGGCCATGTCGGTCCACAAAGGTAGAAGCTACCCTCCTTCTCCAAGTACGCCCTGCGGATGTCCTTCAGAGACTCCCTCATACGGTCCTGGATGTAGATCTTCTGAGGCTGGTCACGGGAGAAGGCGCGGCCGAGGAGGGTAATGATACCGGCGTCTTGGTATGCCTCCCATTCCTCGCCGTAGAGGTACTCTTCACGCTGGTGACGAGCGCCCATGTAAAGCAGGACTTCACCAATTTCGTGACCCTGCTGCTTCTGGTAGGCGCGCTCCTGGACGAAGGCACGGAAAGGCGCGAGACCAGTTCCAAGACCGGCCATGATGATGGGTGCGGTAGTCTTGGGAGGAAGCTTCATGACAGATGGCTTGACGGACACGGTGACAGGCGCGCCAACCTTCAGGCTGTTGAGGTAGCGAGTCGCCTGACCGAAGCGGTCGCGGCCCTTGGGGTCGACCCAGTTGACAGTGACGATGAGCAGGGAGACGGAGTTGGGTGTCACGTGCTGTGCGGAGGCGATGGAGTATTCGCGACGCTTCATGGGGTTGACGATGCGAACGATGTCGTGGAAGCTTGGGTGAGCAGACGGGAACTCGAGTAGAATGTCAGCGTAGGTGACAGTGTCGACCTCAGCGCGGCGCTTGAACTCAGTGGCACCCTCAGCACTCAGAAGCTGCAGAAGCTCACGCTTCTCACGCTCGTCATCAGCGAACTCAGCAAGCGACTCGTAGAAGCGCTTGGGTGGGCGACCGAAGATGTCGACGTTTTGCATGAGAGACTGATAAACGGTCCGGTTGACCAGAACGTTGGGGTCGTCACGAGACGGTACCTCAACGATCTCATTGGGGTTGAGACCATACCACTTGATAAACTCTTCAACTTGTGCCTCGTCATTCTCTGCGTGGATGCCGAGAGCCTCGCCAATGGCGTAAGTGACACCAGAGTTACCGAGATCGAATTCAATGTGGAAGATGTTACGGTCGTAGTTCTGCGGTGTGAGGCGGCGACGCTCCTTGACATGGACGATACTGGTCTTGAAGCCAAGATCAGGACGAACTTGGTTCGCAGTGCCGAAGGCCTCCTTGAAGGCAAAGCCCTTGGCTGCGACTTGCCAGTCCTTGAGCAGAGTCGGTGGCTCGGCCTCAATGCGGTCGAAAGGAGCGAAGCTGTTGACGTTAATGTCTGAGGGGAGGCGAATGGGCTCAACGTCGTCCTCAACAGTGCCCCAAGCAGCAGGAACCTCCACTTCACGAAGAGCGCTCTCGAGCTGCTGGGTGAGCTTGTCGAAGACTTCTGAGCTACCGTTGATAGCAGCAAGCTTGCTCAAGCCAGAGGAGAGCAAGTCCTCACGAGCAACCTTCAAGAAGGCGAGCTGGGTGAGGTAAGACTCCAGGGATTCATCTTCAGCGACAGCCTCAGATGAAGCAGAGTCAAGGACGAAGAGCTGAATGTCCTTGTCCACGAGGGCCTTGCGGAAAGCAGGCGAGAGCTTCTTCTCAATGTCCTCGTTCTTCACACCGGGCAGCTTGACGATGATGGAGCTGTCAGGCTTGACGCTGTTCAGGACGTCAAACTCCTTCAGGATAGCGATGTCGCCAACGAAAGCGACATCGGCTTGCTCAACAGCATAAGGCGCTTCGATGGTGTAGTCGGCATTGCGGATATCGGTACGAGTAACACCGCCCTGCACGAGATTGTCGTGGCCGCTGCGGACGAAGACGTTCTTCGAAGAGTCACTCGAGAGAAGCTTGCCAACTACAACTGGGGCGTTGGCGGCAAATGATTCGTCGAGGTTCCAGAAGCTGTACTGCTTGACGTCGGCAGTGTTCAAGATGTCGACGTATGACCGGACCTCGGCACCCTCCTTCTCGGCGTGGATCTGGCGGAACGCATCGAGGAAGTTGCTGGGTGTCCAGACCTGCTCGCGCGAGTACTTGACATCGGTAACTTCAACGTCTCTGTCGTAGGCGAACTGGATTGACGCCAAGACGTCCGAGTAGAGCCTGGAGTACTCAGCGGGGTCGAGCACGGCAGCCTCGTCCTTGACCTGACCAAGAACAGCAATGCGACGAGTGCTCTTGGGGAGTACCTCAAGGAAAGCCTCTTCAACGAACGGTCGGTAGACACGGACGTTGACGACACCGACCTTGTCGCCATCCTTGGACAAGGCATTGGCGACCTGAGCGGTCAAGGAAGCCTCCACGGTACCAAAGACGACAAGAACGCTCTCTGGCTGCTCATGACCGTAGTAGTCGAAGAGCTTGTAGTCCTCGCCAAGCTCATCGTTGAAAGCCTGGAGCAGGCGCAGAACGCGTCCAGCAGTATCAGAGTGCTTCTTGTCGACCTCTGAGACGGCCTTGAGCACCGCCTCGTAGCTGTTGTGCAGCCTGGTCTGGTCGAGAGTATCGACCAGCCTAGCCGTTTCCCTTCCAACGCTAATGCCATCGTATGTGTGGATCGTGGGGAGGACGCTCGAGAGGAGGGTAGCGAAGAGGGACATGTGCTGAGCCTCGAATACAGACGGGCTGCAGACGAGACCAAGGCCCAGGTCTTCGGCGAGTGTGAGGGAGGAGACATAGTCGGTGACGAGGCCAGCACTGGAGTTGGCGGAGTAGTCAACTGCGGCAATGTGGGCGGTCAGAGGGTTCGCGACCGAGTAGAGGGCGGATAGCTGGTCGAGCGAAGCGCGGAGGTAGTTCAACGTGGAAGAGGAGGCGACGATGGACTGGGGGATATGGCGCTTCTTCAGGTCATAGTCCTTGGAGAACATGTACCCCAATGCGATGGCACCAGCACCGGTCCTCGTCTCAAGGGATGAGACGCCAGTCTGGTATCCGAAAGCATTCTTCTCGCCCTGTTCTTGCCAGTACTTGACTGCGACGTCCAAGTCGAACGACTCAGCCGAGTATGCGAAGATCTTATCCGAGAGGGCGTATGCGACCTGCTGTACGAGAGTTTGGGCCGTGAGGTAGGTGGGGCCACCGATAGATTGGTAGGAGAGGTCCTGACCAAACGGCAGACTGGATGACTTCTTGGAGAAGTCCTTGGGTGCGTTCTGCTCAGCCCCAGGGCCGGCAGACTCGGTCTGTTGGAAATGCATCTTGAATACAAGTATGCGCCTCAGCAACTCAGCCTTTCAAACAAGGCAGTGTGAGTCTCTCTTTGGGGTGTATGAGAGAATGGGAGGTGCTACGACGCTCCGGAGGCTTCACCGTGGGAGTATATCCGTGTCGTGGGTTTGCCGCCTCGTAGCAGCCAAAAAGTGCCGTCGTCCAGTAGCGACATCGGCAGAAGACCGACCGAGCAAGACGCAATCCTTCACAGACACCATGATTGGCCCTGTGCAGATGCTCTAGCACGTCTTTCGGGCGATAGATTGCAAATGCGCGGAATGTCGCCTTGACGCGACAAGAATTTGGCCCTAGCGCGAATTGCGTGCTCGACACGCCAAGAGTCTGGGCACGTGACGGCGGGGAAATCACGGCTCTCGGAGATCTGATCAGCAACACCGTCTCGTCTCGTCTTCTGCCGTCCTTCGCACAATGCATCGTCGCTCAACGCCTGTCAAAGCTTCAATCGCGACACTAGACTTGTGCTCCAAAACTATCTTGCTCAGTTCTCCTGCCACTGCATGCTTTACGCGTCCGTGTAACACTACACAAGGCTGAGGATGAACGACTAAATGCACGAATCGGGCGCGTGCATACAATTCCAATGCCAAACCGTATGCGCGCAGTGGTGCAACCATTCGCAGTATTGATTTGACCGTACACGGGCTGTGTATACCTCTTGTACACACTCGGCGTCGTACACATAACATTGGATGACTATAGGCCCCAACACTGCGCCTCCATCATGGTCTCTTCATATCGTGCAGCTTTGCTTGTCTCGAGTTCACTAGGCTGGGACGAAAGCCTCATACTGATATTTTCGCATTCACAACCTCACAATGGAAGCCATAGGTCTAGTGGCCAGCATAATCACTCTCATCAGCGCAGCCAGCAATGCCGCCTTGATCCTCGAACGAGTATTGGGTCTGCGCGGCGTTTCCCTATACGTTCTTGGAGCGTTGAACGAAGTCACCGACTTCAAGGCAACTCTGACTCTGGTACAGACGGCAGTAGATGAAACTCAGCACCAGCTTCCGCCAGCCTATCGGGTGGAATACAACAGGCTTTTGGATCGAGCAATGGGCTGTATGGACGCCTTCACAAAGTACCTACGAAGAAGTATTTTACGTGAGCGAGAAGAGGTAGACGGCGCTGAAAAGGTCATCGAGCTGAAGAGACGTGTGAAGTGGATGGACGTGTTGGGAAGAGGTCAAGCGCAATGTCAGATCGACGCATTCCAGCAGGAGCTGACTTCCTTGAAACTCAACTTTGTATTGGCGATGAGTGCGACGAATTTGTGAGTTGCTACTCATCTTCGTAGGACGCATGTCAGGGCCGCGAAAGATCGCTAGATCAGGCACTGTTTATGGGCGAGTCGGCTAATCTTGTGCATCTAGAAAAACTACGACCAGGCTTTCTACCATCATTCAAGATGTTACTATCGTTCACATGGGAGAAGTATCTGGAGAACCAATGGTTCACGGCAACGCGATCGATCTGCCTTACGCGATGGAGAAAGCGGCATGTATGAGCACGATCTCATCGACCACTGATAACACCATAGTCGACCGAAACGATTTCACGTCTTATGTCAAAATCGAGACCATAGAAACTGCGACAAACCGGACTTGCAGATCATCATGTCCTTGTGACTGCCATGTGCCTCTACAGGGCGTTACACCAAGATGGTTACGGGGATTAGTCGGTGCCGCATTCTTCAAGTTCACTTCAGCACCTTTACTCAACCGCCGGCGTTGCAACTACGGCCATTGTCAACCAGCCTTGAACGGGACAGGGTCACTGCATTTCCGTTACTTTTTCCCGACATGGTTCCTGCCCCTGGGAGTTGAAGTTGCAGGATCTTGGCGTTCACTGGGTGGTGTTGGCGGGACATGGAGTCTCAGAATCCCACGACTTGTCACCGACCGATTTTTGAAGTTTAGTTTGTTATGTGCTATGCGCCACGGTACTGTTATAGAGGTTCAGCAGGTGATGGAACGAAATGGTGTCAGAGCTTTCGACATGCTTTGGTATGCATTCAACGAACCATTGTCAACTCTCACAGTAAGTGCCTGCTAAGCATTTGTAATATTACAGGCTAACTTGCCAAGCTTGCTCTCAAATTCCGAAAGCCCTTGTCCTTTTACAACATGTTGCTAGATCACGGAGCAGATTTGAACCTTCCGTCGCCTTTATATGGGCTGTAAGCCTCCTACTAATCGCTTCGATGCATACGCTGATTGACCTAGTACACCTGCCCAAACCTTTAGTGCCGGTCGTGTCCAGGGTCACTTTCACGAAATCTTCTTGAGCCGATCAGATCTTCTTGACATCGGTGATGTTCTCAACCTCGCTCCAGCTACGGAGTTAATACTTCGAGGATCAATCGACAGTCTAAGAGATCTTCTCCGAAGTCAACCCAGCGCTGTACTAACTCGGGACTCTCTTGGAAATACCCCGCTCCACTGGGCGATAAAGATGGCGAACGTCGACGCGGTGGACCTGCTACTCGAAGCAGGCGCGGATGTACATGCTGTCGCAAAGGACACTGCAACGCCTTTATGCGAAGCTGTCGATTCTGACTTCGAATCCCGTGAAATTTGTCTGAAACTCCTTGAAGCTGGTGCTGACGTTGACCAAGTCATTTGCCATGAAGGGACCGCTCTTGCAGAGGCAGTGCGTCGCAATCGATCCGTCTCGACGATAAAACTTCTGTTAGATGCTGGAGCTCACTTACATGGGATTCATGGTGACGATCCTGTCCTGATAATAGCGGCTTCTGAGTCTACATCGGATGCATGCGAAACGCTACTGTTGGCCGGCGCCAACATCGAAGCTCGAGGTTCTCGGGGTGAAACAGCGGTCATGGTAGCTGTAGGGAACAACAATCATTCTGTACTTGAGAAGCTCATTAATCTCGGCGCTCGACTGGATCTGGAGCTATATGACGGGGACTCAATAGTCATCATCGCGGCCTTGCATGGCGATATAGAGACGATGCGGATACTTGAGACTGCACGCATCAAGGGCATTCCGGTGGATGTGAAGTCACGGGAAGCCTACTGGTACGCTTTTGATCGACGCTACCACTATTGCTTCCCAAAGAGTGTACTACCCGAGTGCGTGGAGATGGTCGCTTTTCAGGCTCTTCTCGATAGCATCGTACCCGCAGAATATGCCACTTTGGAGTATGAACACTCGGAAGATTCTGATGCTGTTCACGTACCAGGGGCGTTTCCATTTGATACAGACGAGTCGGATTGCGACATTGGGATTCCAGAGGCGCGAGAATGGGATGATGTCGACGGGTGCGAAGAGCAGAGAGATAGCGACGATGAATCACGGATTACCCCCGACGATGACCGTTCAGGCGGTGAAAAGGAAATGGAACATGCAAGCGAGGACGAAGCCGGTAGCCTGACATGAGGAGACGAATCACTGCGGAACATAATCTGGGGATGCTGAGGCCACTGCGCGCGTCTGGTCATATCTCTTCGATCGTGTGTTTACATTAAACAGTTTGGAAATCCACTAACGAGACTTGTATGCACCTATATTTCATGACTCGCCACAAGTGTTCAGCGATGGGCTTAACGATTACAAGCATTTTTTAGATATTTATTCTGGCGACCTAACTATTCGCACCGATCACCGCTTCTTGAGTGTTCTCTTGCTTCTTACCGTATAGCTAGATCGGCCAAAGGCATGCAACTAAAAGATAAGCATCCACAAGCATCACCGCTCCACATCGTCGCGAATTACCGCGTCTAGCAACGACAACGAGCGATCCCTGATCTCCCCAATATTCACGATCCCCGATATCCTTTGCGGGTCTCACGAACTCATTATCACGTAGATCCGGCGAATGAAAATGACTTTCTGGTGTTGCGATGATGTCAAAACCTCCACGCGGAAGAGAGATGCCGACGCGAACAAGTCGCGATGTTCAAGATCAGCATGCGGAGCGCTTTGCCGTGTCGCGCTTATCGTCATACCATCGTAAGAACTGAACATCACAACCCTAACTCCACTGACTGTACAATTGCATCACAGCAATCGGGTCGCCGACTGTTCAAAGATGAACTAGGTATATGATGACTTGTCGCACATTTCCAACATCCAAAATAACAAAACAAAAACATCCTCGTACATTGTGAACAACCAGAGGTCTTAACCTTAACACCCACATCCCCCTCCCAAACCCCGCACAACAAACACTCCCCACCATGGCCCTCCACGCCGCCTCCTCCCCCAAAAAAGTCGACCAAACCCTCCAACAAACGCCCGGCATCCAAATCTTCCTCCAACCCATCGCCCCGCCCGCCGCCCTCGGCCTCGCCGGCTTCGCAGGCTCAACATGGATAACCTCATCCTACATCGCCAACTGGTGGGGCAGTCCCGAGTCACCAACCATCTTCTTCCCGTTCGTGGGTCTGTTCGGCGGCCTGGCGCAGTTCATCGCAGGATTATATGGGTTCAAAGCGCGGGATACGCTGGTGACGGTGATAAATACCATGTGGGGAAGTTTTTGGATTAGTATTGGGGTTTTGTATGCTTTTGTTGTAAGTTGTTGATGGTTTATGTGGGGGTTTGAAATAGGGTAGGGGATGATGGGCTAACGAGGGATATGACAGGCGGCTGGTGCGTTGGAACCACATGAAGTGCATACGCACTTCCCCGAACTCGCATCTTGGTTCGTGATACTCTGTGTTTTCACTTGGTCGGGCGCGCTCGCAGCGACAGCACGCGACGTCGTTCTCAGCGTCTGTCTCTTCTCCCTGGCTATCGGCAGTACGATCGCTTGTTGCATGTTCGCGTACAATGGTCGTCCCATCACCACGGCGGATACTAGCGCATCGGGTGATAGTCTCACTGGTGGGGTGACGATGGGTATGAAGGCTGCGAGCTACTTCTGGATGTTGTCCGCCCTCTGCGCTTGGTGGAGAGTGACGGTGTATCTCGTCGAAGAAGCATATGGACCTGATCATACGATCACAAAGTTCTTCCCTATTGGTAGGACGCCGATGGAGAGGAGGGCGCCTTTGGTCATTCCGGGTCTGGGCGAGCCTGGTGTTAAGAGGGGTGTGCCGAAGCCGTTGCCGGTATGATGGGATGTGCATCAAGCTTCGTCTGGTATGTGTCAGCCGTTTGGCGTCTCCAAGACCCGTGGCACTTTGCCACATGTATCGCATTGTTAGATGAGAATCCACATACAAGCTTTGAGAGTTTGTATCTCCTACACCTCGCTTCCAAGGTTGGCTTTGAGGATGTCTTTGTCATGACGTACAATATGAATGGACGTGCTGCTGTAGCCCACGGTATATCGCTGCCGAGCGGAACATTTTGGCGACCAAATCATTCTGTCATGTCAGGCAACGCATGCCCGGACAGCTAGCTATTGTACTCAGAGAGAATGTCACCTAGAATCCATGTGAACAGTAAACAAAGTCAGATTCGACTCCTGGGTATCCAAAAATGCAACGCATACACGACGGTCGTTTCCAATGCTTCCGTCTCTCTTCTAGTAATTACGCCTTTGCAGTCCGCATATTCCTGCAATATTCGCAAAGTCTTCTCCTTCAAAACAACAGACTGCAGAATGCCGCACATCGCTGAGAATCTTGTCGACCATGCGAGTGAAACCGACTCGGTGCGCTCCATTCGCCAGTAAAGCCGGCTGACGGGTACTTGTTTGCGTGCGAACTGTACCGAGCACTGGCCAGACCCATGTAGCCAGTAGGCAGCAGGATCATTGGCTATAATGTAGCACATGGCCGTGGAGAAGTCGCTATTACAGTCCGCTTCCTTACTGGTAACACAATGGGCTCATACTAGCGCGGTCAGCGAACTGAACCAAACCAGCGATCTCTTGTGCAGTACTTCGTCACCATCAGTCTCCTCAGAGCCAGCATCTGTAGAGTGAGGCAGGGGTAATGTATCCCCGTCCCGAGCCGAATCATCGTACTACTGAAGGTCTGCATCTGCCGGCATGACAAAACCAGTGTCGCCGAAGTCTTGCAAGACGTACTCAGCCAGGGCGTCTAATCTTTTCCGCTGGACGTGAAGTGCGCCGCTCCTGAGATCTCTATCGCGCTGGCTCATGTTGCTAAGTAATGAGGGCGCTTTGCCTTTGATGGTCAAATGCTGTTCGTTGCTTGAACTAGGACGTGAAACTGGGTCGTCGGCCTCTGGGTATCGTGGATCTCCCTGTCCTTCGGCCGAGATCTTGAAGCCCTGCTTCTTGCCGGGGGCGATTCTACCAATGAGAACGAGCAGTAGCTCTGGTTGCAATAGGCGTACTATGATATTACAATCCGGAGTCTCGATAGTGAGGGTCCTAAGTGCGGGTTGCAGCGACTGGTCCTGGGTAGCTCCATTGCGGGTCGATGGCTTTTGACGTCCTTGGCAGTTGTCTTTCCATGCCATAGATATTAGGGCAGCCTGATCGCGAAGCTCCTTGGTCTGGACAGGCTTTGAGTACGCTAATAGTGTGCCATTTGGAGACATCAAGCTACTGAAGTTAGTTGGAATAACAGTGTTTGGTACTTGGAACCTACAAGAGTCTTGGGTAGATGTGTTCGTTTGCATTCTGCGTGAGCCAGTCGCTCACTTTAGCGATGTTGATCATTGCGGGATCTGCAGACATGATTAGACGGGGAAGCTGTAGGTGTTAAGGACTAAAAATGAACAATAGACTGTGCGTGGGAAGCTTTCAGCGACGTGTGAGCAGGTAGCGAGTACCACGCGCTGCAAAGAATGGATGTGATTTGGATGACGGTGATGTGAAAGAATGCCCACGTACCTGGTCTATGGTTGGCGCAACCACTTCCGCGCTGTCGTGCTGCTAATTCACCGATCTGCGCCTTCTCTCAGACCAAAGGCAGATACGACGGCCAGCGACGCGTCGCAACAGTAAGGAACGCGTTAAAACACGAGAAGGAACGGACGGGATCACGAGGGAGAAGTTGCGCGTGTGAGTATCCTGATCATGACGATGTTCAAGACGAAGTTCCCCAGGAGAGAGAGCTATGACCACCTGGGCTGGCCGGAGCCTTGTTTTCCGCCGCACGTGCTCTCGCGCTCATGCTATCAAGAGCTTGTATTGTTGTAGCCTAGCACTATGCATTGCTTGGAGATGCTACCTAGGTTTCGTGTATCTACACACCACAACGGGACTCTGACGAAGGGTACATACTTGCGCCGGGTCACGGGTGGAGTGTGATCCGAAGGGATGGGCCCGCGCGCACGCGACACGACGATGTTCTTGGATGACACGCGCCTTACAACGATATATCGACCTGGTGACATCTCTAGATCTGGGTAGATAGTGCTCATGTTTGACATCGACGTCATAGGACGATTCGTCGTTCGCACGCATTCGAGATGTTTGTAACCCACCGGGCTGATCTCCGAGCAAATGCCGGGTGAGGGGCAATTGGCAGCTCTTCATTGGATCGCAGACGTCATCGGCCTTAGAATCTATTTCCCCTCAATTGCGCTGAGACACTGCTAGAGAGCTCAATCAATGCTTTTCACGCGTCTCGCAATACCAAGAACATCACGAGTAGTCGCATCGTCTGCATTTCATCCTCTCAAATCAAACAGTACACCAAGCTTCCTGATTCGAACGCTAGCAACCATGGCGACCGACCCATCCAAGTACAAGCTCAACCACTCCATGTGAGTACCCGCATGGCATTCACTGCGCCATCCCCATTCTATTGGCCAGTTACTCACACCTGCTAGGATCCGGATCAAGGATCCGAAGCGCTCTGTCCAATTCTATGAGTTCCTTGGAATGAAGCAGATCAATCAGATCAAGAACCCCGACGCCAAGTTCGACCTTTACTTCCTCGCATACGATAGCCCGAAGGCCGTCTCGCACGGCAACCACTGGACCGACCGCGAGGGAATCGTCGAGTTGACGCACAACTACGGCACCGAAGACGATCCAAACTACAAAATCAGCAATGGCAACACAGAACCTCACAAGGGCTTCGGCCACCTCTGCATCTCGGTGGACAACCTACAGGCTGCTTGCCAGAGGCTAGAGGATGCAGGTTACAAGTTCCAGAAGAAGCTCACAGACGGTCGCATGCGCCATATCGCGTTCGTGCTCGACCCTGATGGCTACTGGGTGGAGGTCATTGGCCAGAAGCCAATTGAGGAGACCGAGAACGTCAAGGACACCGATACAGGCTCGTACCGCATGGTAAGTAGCGTTGGAAAGACATTACGTTGGTATACTGATGATTGCAGAACCACACCATGATCCGCGTCAAGGACAAGGAGGCCTCACTCAACTTTTATCAAGACGTCATGGGCATGAAACTCAAGCGCACCTCAGAGAACGAAAGTGCTAAGTTTAACCTCTACTTCCTCGGATACGGCCCCGACGCATCCGAAAACACCGCAAACGGCGTCAA